GTATATATAACAAAAAATGTATATAAAGAAATAACTTTGTTAAAGATATCTCGAATAAAAAATCTTGAATTCAATACTAAAATCGAATCATTATATTATTTTTGTAAATCTAGAAAAAAAATATTTGTATTTAATTTGTATTTTGAATAGCAAAATGTCTGATAATTATAATAAAAATTTGCCTACTTTGCCCAAGTACAATAAATCTAAATCGCAAAAAGTAGATATAGATGACCAAATTACATTAGCAAACTCTCTTATAACTGATTTAATAAACAATGTTGTTAAGCATACCAATAAATCGTCTAATCACTTAGCTTCGCTCAACAACAGCCTCAGGCCTGAGTTGCTGGACAACACTAACCCTGAATTGCAAGTACTTGAATCTTCTCCTAATGGTCAAAAACTTGAACTAGAATTGCAAGAATTAGAAGAACAAGAGGACCTCAAATCATATGAAGAGTCTGAACCAGAATCAGAAGAGGAATCTAAACCTGAATCTAAATTTCAAGAAATAGACATGAATGAATATATTAAATTTTATAATCATCTTGGATTAAAAACGTATAAAGACTGGATTAAAAATATTCTTCCAAATATTTCGGGGGCTAATTATATTTATAAAGATAATTATATAACATCAGAATATAAACTAAATGAAAGGTACTTTTGTCATTGCTATGAATAACCGAGATCAACAGCCGGCATAATGAAGCGAGCCGTTAAGTCTTCATCCAGTCACAGCCACCCTCATCTGGTTCAAAAACAGTAAAAAAAAACGGGTTGCAAGTCTTATCTACGTGTATTGAAGCATTATGATAATAAAGGTGATGGTGTCCATATTATTCACTATACATTATATGCTGGACATAATCCTGATACTATTGAAGATCTAAGATATTTTAATATATCCCATCAGGCAAGAGAATGGATTTGTGCAAGAGCGAAAAATAAAATGAAGCCTTCTCAGATCGTGTCAGTTCTTCATAATAATATTAACCAGATTCATAATACGGAAGATATAGAGTCTTTATCTCTAATACAAAAACATGATTTATATATTTCCTATATAGATGTGTATAATATTGTTAGTGAGGAAATGTAATGAAAAGTGTTATATTTTTAGAAAATGACAGAGAAGATTATAATGAAAATACATCCATCAAAGAATGGATCATTTTATCTAAAGAAGACAAATCCTATACATGTGATAACTCAAGCTAGGGTTTGTTTCTAGGATTCATGTATGCCTTCCAAACAGAGTTTCAAAGAAAGTTGTTAAATTCAAAGAGTGCGCAAACAGTTTGTATTGACGGCACTTATGGCACAACTTCGCACAAAACTAACCTTTTTACTTTGCTAGTTCGAGACAATGATGGAGGGCAAGATGTACCTATAGCTCATTTAATATCAGAAAGGAAAGCAAAAGAAACATTAATTTATTGGCTCAAAGCCATTAAAAAACAAAATGAAAATTGGAAACCTCATACCTTCCTTACGGATTGCGATGATGCACAACAAAATGCAATTCATACGGTATATTTGGAAGCCACGATCTTGTTATATCAGTAGTATGTTAAAAATGCTTGGCAAAAAAATAAAAATAAAATTAATGGAGATAGTAAGTATTTTAAGACTCAAGATAAAAATAAAAAAAGAAGGCAAGATTTATAAAAGGTCAGAAAAACAAGTAGCACAAAAGGCGGTGCTAGACGATCTTAGTGCTATAATGCGAATTCGTGACATTTCTCATGTAAAAAGTAAATTTGACAACTACTTAGCCTGTTGGGTAGGATTTAATGAAGTAAAATAGGTGAAATATATTAGTAAAGAATATAGAAACAATTGCGAAAAGTGGATTGATGCGTACCGACTATATGAACATCAGGAAATGAATACAACTAATTTTATAGAAGCCTGGCATAAAAAATTAAAATACACTTATTTTGGAGCCAAGCAGAATAACCAAATGAACACTTTGATATGGACCTTGAGAAATGCTCTAAAAGATGCTGAGTTCGAATGTGAGGCAGTTCATCTAATGATTGGAAGGATGAAACTACGTCAGAAGAAGCAAAGAAAGCGTGAGCTTGCCAGTTTGGACCTAGAAGTTTTTAATTTTCATGATGACTGGTGCTATCTTGTGAAATCATCAAAGAGTGATCATTACTAAGTTAGTATTAAGGATAATGTGCAACAAAACAATAATATAAAGCCTGCACATTTTGAATGCGCTTGTGTGGACTTTAAATTCTGCGGAATGGCATGCAAACATATCTTCGCTGTTTACCAAAAATGTTATTTAACCCAAATTACGCTTAATACTTTGACCAAACTATAGAAGAACCTGAAATAGCTCATAATGTAACTTTTGATAACTGGATCAATGCAATCTAAAAAGTCTGAAACCGGCATAGTCAAGAAGATCAAAACAGAATGACAGATACTAACCTAGAAGCACTTGTGGAAGCGGGAATGAAAAGAAAATCAAATATCGACTTATATGAGGATTTTACTATTCCTGAATCTATTTTAAAAAGAACACATTATAATGTCAAAAAGCAGTCGCATTAAAATTCGTTATATTAAAGCTTCTAATCTTTTTTTTTTGATCAATTTGTTTTTAATGCGATATATTAATAATAATTTATAATACTCACATTGCATATTATTTGTTCCAGTTTTTAAAAAACTTTCTAAGAAACTTTTTGCAAGAAATAATCGTGATTTATACAACTTATAATACAATAAAACAAATAAAATACCGTCAGAATGATGTATAAAAAATTGAACGATGTATAATAAAAAAAATGAATACTATATATACTAGATAGTCTATTGTCTCAATCAGTGTATAAAATCTAAAGTACAAAATATATGCATAATGTGCGCAAGTCAAAATTTTATATATATCTTTACAAAAAATATGTGCACTAAGCACGTTGTGAACATTGATTTTATATACTGGTTACAAAAAAGCATCCAATGTTATAAAGCAAAGTTTGTAATTATTTAATAAGCACTTATGTACTGCTTATTTATATTTAAAAAAATTGGTCTTTAGTACATACTTGCGTTCGAGAAGATGTGATTTTAATTAAATCGTTATCATTATCAATAAAAAAGATTATATCGATAATAAATGAACATCAGCACTTAATTAGGTAGTGATCATCACACATGCCAAATTTGGCAGTGGATACATAAATGCACGTGGGGATAACTGTCCTTTTTTGTGATGGCATTGAGACAGTGATAGTCAACACAAAAACAGGTCTTATTATGTTGTTTGACAAGAACTATGGAAAAAGTCTAGGGGCTATAAGTAGGTTGAATAAGGCCTTTCTGAAGCATCCTATTAATTTTCATTTTTAAAAATTCCTGCTTTTTAGGAGATGTGCGATAATAATATTGTTTAATAAAAGGGGTGTTATCGATAAAAATATGGTGAATGATGAGGTTGGTATGACCTAAGTCTTGAAAAGTCCACACAAAGAGGTCATTATAACCTGCAAGTAACTTGTCTAATTTCTCAGGATCATCTTCCCATAATTCTTCAATGTCAAGTTCTTGGAGTGTCTCTTTTATTTGGTTAAAAAAAAATTGTGGTTGAGTTCGAATTCATCATTATCAAAATCACCACCCTCACCTTCCAATGCATAATCATCGCTATTCTCCAAGTTCCACCAGATGTCACCTGCCCCACAACCCTTAGATCACATATTATACTCGAACCTCAGAGTTCACATTAGATTCATCACACAATTCAGATAACATTTTGTCTTTGTAACAAAAATAGCAGAAGATAATCCCTTCATCTTCAAAGAATCTAAAAAGATGGTCTTCGAGTTCTTCCTTTTCGAACTCACTCTCAGTTTCTTCTTCAAACTCAGACTCATCGAAATCAACTTGTTTGACTTTGGTAATCTTAGGCGGTGATTGTCTTGGATGGAAATATGCTGAAGTTTCCTAAATTCAACCAGAATGATGACTTTCTTACTATCCTACTGAAATGTTATCTCTGAGATATTATAGTCAATATTGGTATTGACTATACTAACAGAAACTGTAATACCTTTAACAGAAAAAGGGAAGTTCAAAATTTCATTGATAGCTTTCTTACTCTGACCATGAATATTAACTATGTTTACTATAGAAGGTCTTTTGACTTTGATGCTTAGTTTACTAAGCAAGTGCAATGACATAACACTTCCAGAAGAACTACTACTAATGATAAGAAGAATAACCTTATTGTGAACTGTTGTATCACAGTACAAAGCAGTAGACTTAGGAGTGAGCTGAATTTTGGCAAACGCTCGAGCTCTTTCTTTGAGGCTTTTGTTCTTTTGAGACTTTTGACCAAGTTAGTACAGAAAGAAAAAACTACCTGTAGTAACTGGCCTAATGTAATATTAGCAAGTTTATTATGAACTTCCTATATAATGGAGTAGTGGAGAATTAGAATGGAAATTTGTGGCAAATTATCTTTGGTCTTTTTCTTTCAGTTCACAATTGTCTTAACACCTCCTTTATTTACTTTCGCTTCTGACATTGACTTCTTAGATCCTTTCTCAATATTACTAGTAGTTCTCAACTCTTCAGTATGTTTCTCTGGAACTGGTTCATCAGTATAATGCCTTTTATTGGAAGCCATCTCTTCAGCATCCTCTGCAGGAAGAAACAGAGAATCGTTATTATCTATATGGAGATTCAAAAAAGTTTGAGTCTTATTCTCTTTAGTATGAGCAGGGACATTATTGTGGTGATTCACCAGAGGATTATTTTGAGCACCGTTATTTTGACAAAGAAGGTGGCGTTATTTCTGATAGCTACATTATTTTCAGTAGCTTGAGGTAACAGGTTAGAACAATTTTAAGCATAATGCTCTACTTGTTCACACCAATTACAAGGATACTAGGGAGTATTATTTTAATTACCAGAATTTTTATAGGGTTTTTACTTAAGCTCTTGTAGCTTAGTCATCATTGTGATAATGGCTTTGGTTAACTTGATAAGAACTTCTTTAGTTTTGGAGTGGCCAACTACTAGGAAACCGATTGCAAGGGGTTGTTAAGAAGAGGGTTGGGGACCAACGAACTGGAGACGGCATAAGAAGAAATGTGAGGAATTATTATCAAGTAAGGGATATGATATAGGAGATTTTGTCTGAATGAATTCTTAAATGCTTTAGCTCATTTATAAGTGATATTTAGAGTATTGGATATAAAGGGAAAAACTGCGATAAAAAGCTCAAGGCTAAGGCTATTGATGAATATTTGGACCTTTGCAGTTCCTAAATAATGATATTTTCTGAATTCTACATGTTAAAGAAGCTCTTCTATGGAAATATGATAGAAATCCACTTTCTCAGTGAGTCCTTGCTTTCGTTGGGTTAATTGAGCAAACCATTTGCTCTCTAGAGCAGGAGTTCGAAATTGGGCAACAAAGTGAAGGCGATAACTTTACCTTGATAAAGTTGATTATTCCATTAGTTGATAGCAGGTCTAATGATTTTGGCAGCAACCTACTAAGTGGTGGCAGTCCCTTTTAGATGAGAAATAACAACAGGGATCTTGCAGTTATCTTAAACCTAATTAGCTTTGAATGTTTTTTAATGTCTTTCAGCCATGTAATGAGGTCTTGTTCTTTACCTGAGAAGTCAGGATAGGAGACTAGGTTAGTTTACAATTCTGGGTGAAAAGATTAATAGCAGGTATATTGATTTGTGGAGTAGGAATATTCTGTATTTGGAGGATAAAATTGTCTAAATATGGCCAAGAACGTTATGAGGTCATTTTGTTAGTTATTTTGAATAACAGAAGGTTGTTGATTATTATCATCATTAGAATCGACAAAAAGAAGAGCTTGGGAACAATTGTTATTTTAATTCATGGCTTTGTTCACAAAAATATCACTATTTCTGTAGGTTTCATCATAAAGGTCTAGATTAAAATAGTCTGTTTCTTGATAAGTGGTAAGGAATTTGTTAAAAAGGGTGGAATAATCATCTGGTTGTCCTTTGTATCGAAAACTAAAGACAAAGGCTTGTAACAACTAATCAGGTATTTGGTCAAAAGCAAAGTTAGAAAGCTTCTCAAATCGATAAATAGCATGTTAAGAGAAAGATATAACTGGTTAAAATTCATTAAACCAAAGCCAAAACCTTTGAAATTATGAGAAAAAAAGCTGAGATGGTAATAAATGGAACAAGAATCATTATGATAATATTGAGTTAAGTAATTAATAGCTTGAAGAGTTTTTCTAAATAGATAGTAATGATGATTATATTCTGTAATATTCCTTGTATGTTGTTTAAAGTTCTTCATACGATTCTAAAAACTGACAGATGGGACTTTCCACACAATCAGCATTAAATATTACTATTGTAATTCAGAAGAGTGTCAGTAATTGGGCTGGATTTAGATCAGCAATAGTAAATGACAGGAGGATTAATTAAGAAATAAGGTTTCTTTATATAGAGATGAAACTACTTAAGAGATAATTGATATATATACAATGTAATAAACAAAGAGGTAATATAATAAAGTTAAATATAGTAAGTAGTATAATTTATTTGATTAAATCAGAATTGATTATAATGCAAATCAATTTTAAATAAGTTTAACAATGAGTCTAAGCACAGAACACATATAAATGATAATAAAATCAGTAGTTTAATAAGACTATGAACATAAATTTACAATGAGTAATCAAAAATAAGGCTGTTAAGATGTATTCATGATAGTTTAATCAAGAAATCAGAATAAGAATTTGATATTTTTAAGTGAGATTAGTCAATATACTGTATAAAAGATCGAAGTCTAGAGAAACTTTATTAAAGGTCGAAATTATATCTTTAAATACATAAATTGTTTATATAAATTAATACACTACTCAATTGTCTAACTATCTTTAATATCTTTATTCATCTGATACCTTTCATAAAACCCTTCTATACTTTGTTTTTCTCACTTATTATACAACATTTTTATAATAAGTAAATGCATTTTATTTTCCAAAACAATTGAGACAATTTGGGTAACTCTATTACCATTCACAAGTTTGGTGATTCATACATGATTGCAATAATTATGGGAACCAATAAACCAATGATGAGAACAATCCCAGAAAAAAAGATTTTGCCTGGATAATAACTTTAATAATAAATGACTTCATATCTGTAAGTTATGTATAAAAGACTAAATATAGTAATAAAAGTAAAAAATATATATACAGAGTACAAAATAAGAAATAGATAATCTAATAATATGTTACTAAAATTAAAAGAAAAGAAAAAGAAAAATTAAGTAGTACGGTTAACGGTTCACAACGGATGATCATCGTACGGCAAAGGCGCAGAAAAATTTTCACATGACGATAGTAACATAGGGGTCTGCTAAAGCCTTGTACCCACATGACTTTTTCTATATAGATATCTTCCCCAGCATCGCCACCAATTTTTTTTCGATCACGTGATATCGACAAAATTCTTTAGAGTTCGTTTATG